GTTGATGGCATTACTGTCCTTAATTTACTTACTGTCCTTAATTGACTTACTTTCCAGTTTCGTTTCTTAATTGTGCTCACTCATCATCGATTTGTGCTGATACCAAGCTGTGGACTATGTATGCAGGACTGAGCAACAGAAAACTCTGTCTAGGGTCAGAAAACTCTTCTGAACACATGGGCCACCTGGATCAACAGCTTCAGCAAACCCTTCTCTATACACATCCTTCCCAAAGAGTCACAGATTATATTTAATGATAATGTATCGATTCTCCTGTCCAGACTTTGAGAACTGAACATTCTGGTTCTGTAAGCAGTGTGACTGTGCAGAAAAACTTATGAAAACTCTCTGTGTTCTGCGGGGTCCTCAACCTCTCCTTGTGGGGCAACGCTTTCACTCTAAGGGAAAAGTGTGGTCCACCACCGTGAGGGAGGTTTTCAGTACGCCAGGGTCAAAGGAAGGAATCACGTAGAGCACAAACCCAGACTTTCTACTGGGTTAAGTGTAAGTGTGAGTAATATAGTGACGCCCCTCCATTCTCTGCTAGTGTCAAGCCTTTCCTGCCTTGCACTATAGATGTCTCCTTGTCTAGTACTCTGAAATGAGCTGATAGAAATCTGCAATGGTGGCAAGTAGGTGATGGAGAGGGGGTGATAATTTTCCTGAACTTTCTTCTGAGATGCAGCCCCAGTAGTTAAACTTGTCAAATGAAACCCCAAATCCATCCTCTCCCCCACCGAATATTCTAGAATAAGAGCACTGGATAAGTACACTTACAAATGTTTCCTAATCTTAGAAAGTTTCAAGAAGGCCTGTTGTCTTGACCCATTACTCAATCGTCCCTGGCATATTATCTGATGTTCATGTTTCTTGGAAGCAGAACTGTCGAGAGTTTCTTTCGTAACTGTCCTTTCTGTACACGGCAGGCATTAATAAATCTTGAATGACAGGCAAGTTACACACAGACAAGATAGGAAAGAGGAGGAGCCGTGAGTGCTTTTGCAGAATGAGGGCTAAGATGATTTCAGATTACAGAACCCGCCCTACCCTTTGAATGTTATTTAGACCAAGTTTAGCTTTTAGAGTCCAGGTCTGGTGAATTGCCAGGGTAGCAAAGAATCGCATGCACTAATATAAACAGGAGTCAAAATGCATTATTAGTTGAAGATCGAATTGCACATTGTAGAGATGTAATAGCTGTGATAAAGCTGCATATTTATGCTGGGAAATGGCTTAAATGGATGGCTAGTGTAAAAGTTGGCCATATTGTCACTCACACCTCTCATCTGCTTGAAATACAGACCAATATGCTAAAATATCAGTCGTTGGGGTCTTGTTCACAAGATAAATTCAAATTTCACAGAACTTTGCAGCAGTTCACAACTTGACAGGATTGTGTCTGCAAACTCTCGTCTTCACGGATGTCTAATAAAGCAAAACTCTGGATCTCACATGGCCTAGAACTTTTTCCCCCCCTTTCTGAGTTTGTAAACAGAATTATAGATAGATTTTTGCTGATCTTCCCCTCCACCCCATCTCAGGTGGAGATTGGTTTTCAGGTCCTTTCCTAGGTTTCGTAAGCTTTATTAAGTCATTCCAGCAAGACCAGCCCCTTTGTCTGCTGGGAACCAAGTCTCCATTGATGTCCACAGAGCCCCTTTTCCCTCCGAGTTGGAAGAACGTGGTCTAGCCAGAGAGAAGGCAGATAATGGGGTGGCCACTGACAACTCCACAGTACCCAAATGCAAGTCATTAAAGAATGCAGAAGGCCTGGGACAGGGGCCCTGCCCTCTGGCATCCCAGCAGGTACATGAAACTGTGTTGAGACCCTTGGGTTTATTCCATGCTCTACACCTGGGTTACCCTCCAGAGTTGGCTCTAGAAGCTTCCAGATGGCTTGAGGTGGGCACAGGACTCTAAGAGGGGGATAAATGGTGTTTGGCTCTGCCAGCTTTCATCTGCAGTTCAATTTCCAGGAAAGTAAAGGGAGGTTAGGCTGGGAGGTGCTGTAAACAGACAACAAATGAGCACTGGAAAGCAGTGGCACCAGGCAGCTTCGGTTTCCTTCCCTGTGACGGGAGCAGCGGGGCTAGCAGTCTGTAAAGCCATCCCTCCCCTCTCTCTCTGGTTCACACGGTCGACATCTTGGTGGCTTCCCGTCCAGTGAGATGAAGGCTCAGACCCTCTTTGTATCCCTAAAACAAGGATGGTAAGAAACGAGCTTCCCCAGACGTCCCTTCATTTTGGTGCATGCCCTTTTCTGCCTCTGCACCTGTCCAGACCATCTGAAAATCTGGCCCCTTCCGGTGGGAGACAGACAGGGTGGGGGTTCCTGGGCCCAGGGCAGCTCCTGCAGGTGGCAGCCACCAGGGACACGAGGCCTCTCTCTTGTCCCGGGCTGCCACCGCCCCCCGCCTCCTCACACAGCCCTGACTTTTGGGCGGACTCAGACACCCCCTTCCACCCTCTGGAGTGTCTCCGTGTCTACACCGGAAGAGTGCTGGCTTTGACCTTGAGCCCTACGTACCCCTGGCCACCCCGCGGGGGGGACCACATATGGAGGACAGCTCGGAGGCCAAATGTCGGTTGGGCAACTTCCCGATTTTACAGCCAGCGGAGGCCGGGCTGAGAGGGTGCTGGGGGGAGCGCCCCCCAATTCACTAGGTTCTCCCGCCTCCCCGTGGGGCCCCCGAGGGCGGGCCCCAGGGGTTCGGGGGCCGCTCCCGCCACCCCCGCGAGGTGAGCGCACAAAGACCGCCCGGAGCTGCGACTGTGACCGCGACCGCCACCAGGGTGGGCAGAAGGCCCCGGCTGCCCGCAGCCAGCCCGCCACCGGGTGAGCACGGGAGGGTCCGTGTCTGCGCTTTCTGGCCTCCCCGGGTGGGCTCCCACCCCAGCCTCACACTTTGGGGCACCACATTCTGCCCGAGAGTTGAGAGGTCACCCCTTCCTACCCTTTGGATGCGAGAAGCCTCAAGCACGTTACTTAACCCCTCCGTGCCTTGTTTTTCTCATCTGTGAAATGGGACTCCGGCAGGAGCCGCCCCTCGGGCAGGCTGCGGGCATGAAACAGCACAGGTGTGGTAGGGACCTTGCCTTTGCCACCCTCATCTGGGAATGGGTAGAGTAATGGCATCTCTGCCCTGGGCTGCCGAGAGCACTAAACCAGTGATCACGTGTGAAGCGTTGAGAACGCGTCTTGCTCAGCAGGTGGTCGGTATTTGTCCGACGTGGATTCCCAGCCCGGGCTGTCCGACTCGGACCGGCGCCTCTGCTCAGGTGCCCCGCACGTGGCACCGGGGGTTAGACCGGCCTAGACGTGGCCCCGTGCTCGCTGTGCTCGGCCGGGTGGGGGCCGAACTGTTGGAACAATCCCGTCTTTGCTGACTCGCTCATGCCTGGGGCCCTCCCCTCCACCCGGAAGCCCGTTCGCCTGGCTTCGAGGGCACTGTGTTAAAGAGGTGGACTGGCTTGGCAGGGTAGGAGCTGGCAGCATCCCCAGAACCCAGATCCAGGCCCTGGGAGGACCAGCAGTGATCTCTGAGGAGGGGAGGGGTCTCACTCCAGAGACAGCACGCGCATACCCTCGTGCTTCAGTGAACCCACCACCACCCTCTGCTCACCCACCTGGGACTCCATTCCAGCCATCTGGGGCCTCCTGATCCCTTCAAGCCGGAACTTGCTTTAATTCTTTGTTGTGGGGGGGCTTTCCTCTATATGGCAGCGTCCTGACCATCCCCTGAGTTGTGACAACCAAAAATATCTCCAGAGGTTGCCGCATGTCCCAGGGGTGATGGTGGGGGTAGCAGAAATCTCTGCAACTGATTCCACCTGGATAGGGAAAGGGCTCTGCGGGGGTGGTGCCTCATCTCTCCCCTCCCCCAAAGATCTACAGGGGGCTCCGGGGTCTTGCTCATATTTATAGTCCCAACCTCTGTCACATTTCATGGCCACAGTATGTGTATAGTTTATGATTGTTGGATGGGTGGATGGAAGGGGGCTTTTAGAGGAGGGGAGACACTGGTGGGGGATGATCTGCACACCTGTTATCTAAATTAACATAAAAGACAGTGGTCCCTTGGTACCAGGGTATTGGTTATAACAGAAGCCAGCTCTATCTGCTGGCTTTGGCTAAGATGGTGATACTACTTCTCAGCCCCAGCTCCTGGCACTCATTCCTTAAAAAGATGAATAATTTCAATTACTCCTCAGACTTCTCACACTCGTGCAGTAAGTTCTTTAGGCAGGGACTTCTGATGAGACCATTTCATTTCCTCTTCTCTTCATTAACAGAGTGTGAAATCATGGACTCTTCCAAGACCTTCATGAGAAAACTGCCAGTCACACCAGGCTACAGTGGTAAGTGTGGCCTTGCCTTGCAGCCGTGCCAGGCAGGAGAACCATGGTCCTGGTCTTTGGCCCTGCCTTGGCCTACTGTCTGTCTCTATCCAGCTGACTGGGCCAGCCCAGGTGCCGTAGCTTTTGAGACACACGTCGAGAGCACTCTGTTGCTGGAGGTGGCTGATGGCCAGGTTCTGATAAATGGAGAGAGAGAACTTAGGTCAAATCTCCCAGGGTATGCCTGGTACACAGGAAGCACTTAGTGCCTGTTGAATAAATTTGGGTCAGGATGACACAATGCTGTGAGGAGAGAGACAGCGAGCAAATGGGTGTCCTGTCCTGACTTGAGAACTTGGGCTTTCTCACGTCTCCCACAAGGGCTGTTCTTACGCTCCATTCTTTCCTCTGTCCCCTCAAGGGAGGGTGGCCAACTGCCCTGGTTTGCCTGGGACTGTCCTGGTTTTAGCACTGAAAGTCCGATGTCCTGCAATTGGTCATTCCTACCTAAAGGCTCTTCCTCCTCAGGCTTCTGGGCTACTGAGAACTTAAAAATCACATCCCTGTGGGTGACAAACCAAGGGGTCCCTGTAACCCCTCAGCTCTCAACTGTCAGGAGGGTGGTACTTGGGGAGTATTTCAAGTTTTCCAGGCTCACTCTGGTCCTAGTGGCTGGTTAAGAGAACAGGCTTTGGGTTTTGTCAAATTGCACTTGAATCTGGGCTTGGTCACTATCTATGCGACTGTAACTTGCCTTTCTATGGTAAGTAAAAAAATTCTGACATGGCTGTGTTAGTTTTCTATGACTGCTGTGACAAATTACTACATGGCTCTTCACATGACCTTTCTCCCTGTGTCTCTGTGTCCGTGTCTCAAATATTCATCTTCTTTCACTTACAAGAATACCAGCCATCAAATTTAGGTCCCACCTTAAATCCAGGATGCTCTCGTTTCTAGATCCTTGATTTAATTACATCTGCAAAGACCCTGTTTCCAGATAAGGTCACATGCATGGGTATCAGAGGTTAGGACTTGGATATCTCTATTTGGGGGATACAGTTCAACCCACTACATGGGATACCCTAAGATTGTTGAGAGGATGAAAGGGACCAGCATACCTAACATACTTAAGTGTCTTGGTCCTTAATGAGACTCAATAAAGGTAGCTTTGTATTCTCATACGTGTGTTCAAACATATGCCTATATAAAATCTATGCGGATGGCTGAGAAACCACTATGGCAAGGCCCTTGGGTTTCTGTGGTCTCCCCCATGACATTGGGGTATGTTTTAATTGCCCAAGAGTCGGGGAGACTGCATGGTGGATGGAGGACTTTCAACACTGTCAAGATCAGTCTAGTAATTAGATTCTTCCAGAGGTAGCTCAACTCATTGCAGGGTGCTGGGCATGGGGGTGGCTTCTTTCAACCCTGAAGCCAGGTTTTCTTTATCAAGGGATATATGCAAAAATGTTGGGCTTCAATAATGAGAAATACTTATTTATTTATTTTGCAGTTCAAAACCAAGTTCTTCACCAGTTTTCCTCATTTTTTCCTTTTTTTTTTTATAAAATGGTTTTATTGTTGACAATATTATAGTACTTAGGATTCAGCATCCAGTTTAAATAAATAGTTGTGTTTTACCCATACTAATTGTAATGATTATATGTTATTTTGTGGGAAGTGGTGAAAAATTGTTCTAGGGGTGGGTCTTGCAGATAATGAATTTACCTTTTTGTGTAATAGGTCTCTGCTTTTAATAAGCCTGCAATTTCCTGATGGTCCAGCAAGAAAGATCCCAAATTGCATTTGGGAAGTGTCAAGGAAAATAAGCTTTCTCTTTAAAAAGATGAATAATTTCAATTACTCCTCAGACTATCATTTTGGCCCATTAAATGCTTTCCCCATTTGCCGTTCGAGCTGACATTAGGGGCTTGGCTATCAAAGAATATGACTGTCATTGCCTTTCTTGAAATGGGCCTTCTCTCCCCAGCTCCAAGGTCATTTTTTGTGGCCTTGGGAGGGCCCAGCCACAGTGGAAACAGCAGCATGACTTGTATTAATTGTCTTTGGAAAAAAGCAGTGTTGTTGGCCAAGGAAGAAATGCCAAGTGGTGGGCTGAAATTCTGGGGAGTTCAGGCAGCTTCTGCATTTCTTGCTGGCCTGCCTTGCTAAAGGCTGGGATTCCATCGGCTCTTGCAGGCTTTGTGCCATTCCTTAGCTGCCAGGGCACCTCCAGTGAGGACAACGTGGACCACTGTCTGAAAACCTTCCAGGAGAACACACAGCGCTATAAAGAGCAGCTGGAGGAATTTCGCTGCTCAGTGGCCACTGCCCCGAAACTGAAGCCCGTCAGTTCCCCAGAGACGGTCCTGCGGGCGCTGCACCAGTACTACCGGGAGCACCACCCCATGATTCTGGGTACCGGTTCCCTGAAGCCAGCTTTCCCTCACCCCTGTTCCCAAGTGTAGATCCTAGCAGGCCAGCAGAGCTGCTGCAGAGAGCACAGAAGCCAGCACAGTTCCAGCTCCCCAGGAGTCAGTGCAAAACAGAGAGGCTCAGTTTCTTACAATGAGTTAGACATATTTCTAGGAGAGAGGGACACAGATCTAGTCAGAGGGAAGAGGGTGTTGGTCTGAGAACTGAGAACCCCTGGGCAAGTCACAACAAATTTTCTGGCATCAGCTTCCGGATTAGTAGTTACCAGTTTTTAACCGCTTTCTTTGTGCTGGGCACCATTTCTTCACTAACCACTCACAACAACCCTATGAGGTAGAGACTGTTATTCCCATCTTAAAGATGGGGAGACTGAGGCTTTGAAAGGTGGTGGCATTTGGCTGAGGTTGGAGCATGGGCTCTGAAGTCAGATCTGGGTTTGAGTCCAGCTCCTCGAGGTACTGGCTGTGTTGGAAGAGGTTTCACACTGAACGTCAACTGATGACATGATTGTATAATGATAGTAAACACAGCAATGATCTGACCTAGATAATTTCAAGGTCTAAAGGCCTGTAGAAAAAATAATGGATTGGTTGCCTTTATTGTTATGACTATAATTGTTTGGGGGCTTTTCAAGAACACATGATAATTTATATGATCTTGCTGTGCTTTAAAACTTTCCAAGCATTACAAAGAATATCTGTCTAGGAGTTTGGGATTTAGTCTAGCTGGGTGACTATTTGCTGTGTGACCTAGGGCAGCTCGCGTCACCTCTCCGGGTTCTAGTTTATTCATCTAGGGCAGGGAAGGATGGACTAGGTGTTTCCTAGGGTGCCTTCCAGTTGTGAAGTTCTGGGACTCAGTGGCCAATTTGATACAGCAACTGGAGGAGGCAGTTGGGGCAGTGAAACTTGCCTGAGGTCGCCCCGCCAGCCAGAGTCAGAGTCATGACCTGAAGTCAGGTTCCTGATGCTGAGTATGATATGCTTTCTCCTAACCTAGGTGCTTCTCTTGATTTGCTCCCTATGTAAATGGTCACAGAGGGATGTCTGAAGCTTTGTTATTAATCTGAGAAAGAAGCAGAATCTGTTAAAGGACTTGGGAATCACACAGAGCTGGGTTTGAATTCTGGCCCCACCACTTCCTGGCTATGTAATCTCAGCCAAGTCTCTGTTAGCCTCTTTAAGGTCCCCGTCTCTTCCTCTATACAGTGGAGGTAATAATGGTACCACACTCTTACAGTTCGTGAGAGAATTGTATTACGTGTAAAGCCCCTACCTGGCACGCAGAATCAACCATCCAGTAGTGGGTGCTCTCATTACACCTGCAGGCCTAGGGGTTCACCCTGGGTTAACTATTGGGGTGCCAGCTAACTTGAGAGCTCATTGATTGCTCATTTTGTGGCTTCCCAAAGCCTTCAGGAAGCATGATGTCTTTTTACAGAATGCAAATATGTAAAGAAACCTCTCCAGGAGCCCCCAATCCCTGGTTGGGGAGGCTACCTGCCCAGAGCCAGGGTCACTGAATTGGGCTGTGCCACGAGGTACACTATCATGGCCAAAAACTGCTACAAGGACTTCCTGGATATCATGGAACAGGCCAAGAGAGCACGCCTGAAACCATATGAGGAGTAAGTCTGGCTCGATCATAACCACAGGCAGCAAGATCAAAGGAGAGCAGACCTGGGCCAGGGGTTTATCAGATGCCCCCACCTCAGCACTAGGATTATTTGGGGTCTGATTCGTTTTACAGCAGATGCTTCTTTGTAATTGCAGGGCCTTCCCCCTAGGCAGCCACCCTCTGCTCCCCACCTGTGCTCAGCATCCCCAGCAGCCCTGCTTATGGTCTTTGCTGGTTTACAAGGAGTGATCAGAAGCAAAAACCAAGAGGGCCACCTGTCCTGGCAGTGGCCTAAGGCCCAAGGGTGCTGAGGGAGGGGGATGGCAGGGGACACCAGGGCACTGCATGGGGGGAAATAAAAACCAAGAGGGCCACCTGTCCTGGCAGTAGCCTAAGGCCCAAGGGTGCTGAGGGAGGGGGATGGCAGGGGACACCAGGGCACTGCATGGGGTGGCTCTTGTAGCTTTAGTTTTCTCTTCAGTAAAGTGGGGTTGATAATCCTAATGTTTAGGATAAATTGTAAGGATTAGAAATAAACATGCCATGCTGGCACAGGACCTGCATATATTATATTTATTCCTATTTTTATTAGTAGTAATAGGAGTAACTCTATGACTTTGGTTCTTACTTTAGAATATATGGAGTTAGGACCACACAACCTCCTGCTCCTTCTCCAAAAGTTTTGCAGCATGAAGGGCTGCTGCCAAAATACCCAGATTTCTCTATTCCAGGTAAGGAAGGACTCTTTCTTTCTTTCCTACTATTTTCTCAAAGGGATAAAATTTTGT